GCGCATACACACACATCAAAAGACACTCTAACATAACCAGCATCTCACCATTCCCTTAATATTGCCAGAGTAAAGCGATCCTCTCACACTCAGATCACATTAGTGCTGCTATGAGACCAGACCCAGACATAAGAGCCACGGGGTGTGTGTGTGTGTGTTTGTGTATGTGTGTGTGCGTATGCTTGTATGCAGTATGTAGGAATTTTATATATGCTACATGCTATAGGGTGTGTGTTTGTGTTTTCGTCCAGGCATGTGATTCATGAAAGAGGAAGCGAAAGGGAAGTTGAGTTGCCAGTCAGACCAGGTCTTTTGTCCATGTTTGTGTGACTTTGCAGAGAGAAAGTAGAGACACTGATATCCTGGCACGAGATGAGTGGGAGGAAGGATGGATGAGGTTAGCAAGGGTCTGGCGAGGGCTCAGTAGGTGTAAGCTTGAGAAATTTCCATATGGCAGTAAAATGTCTGCCACTTTGCTTATTGAGTTTCTAATGTGTGCCAGGTGGTGTTCGGACGCTCTGAGGAGCACTCGGGAACCATTTCCCCGTGTCTGTGTACAGTATGTGTTTAGATGTATTTGTTTTCAGCCACATTTGGAACAAATTGTGGACTTCAAACCAGATCAAATGCTGCTTCAGGAGAAAAAAAAAACACAAAAAAAATCAATGTCCACGATTTGGTTTCAGAGCTCTTGCACTCAAAACCATCAAAAACATCTTCATTTCTTCCATAGGGTTAGATTACAGGGACATTTTTTACCATAAGGCATGTTTCGTTTATGGGTAATGACTATGTAAGTGTCCAGGCGAAAAAAGGAAAAAAAAAAAAGGTCAGCGCAACGTCGCCGGTAATGAGTCAACTGAGTGTTTATTTTTTTCCTATTTTTTGAGCAGAGTTCTGAACCATAACAGTCATTATACAGGAACAGACCTGTACACAGTTTCACTCTTAACCTTCATAGATCGGATGGCTCTCAATCGCTGAGCCCATATGAAACACATTGTAAAACTTAGAAAAATAAACCTGACCTGCAAGTTTTAAAATTTTACTGTAGCTGTGGAGTATCTAGATTTATTAACAAAGTCCCTCCATCTACGGAAAAAAATAGCTCTCGCTCTAGAATGTTGGTTTATAACAGGCCCATGTTTAGGGTTTGAGTCACTAATTTTTAGAATTGACATCCAGCTGAAAGTTACTCTTTTATTTATCATAGGCCAGATTTTTGGCTCTCTGTTTCTTCAGAAGACAGCTTTGAGGTTTATAACACAGTGAACAAAAATCTGTAATATATAGAATAATTAAATAATGAATCCATGACTCAGAGTGCTGTGGCTCAAGATAAGATGTTTTTTTTTGTTCACATATACTCACCATCAGAGGTATATACATAGAAGTGAAAAAGGTGATAGTTGAACCTAGTACACTTTTGTTTGCCCTTCAGTAGCGACCAGACAGGAGAGCCTGAGAATCAATGTCTTTTTGGCAAAAAAATTTAAATTCTTCTTTGAAGTCGACACAGATCCTCCTGCTCATGTTGGTTCACTCATAAGACGATTTTCCCTTCAAATGAACGGCGTTGTCATGAGGCTATAGAGGAACTCCTCATGAAAAATGGCCAAACGTTTTGTTAGAATGTTAGACAAGTGAGTGCTGTATGTATCATTGCTTTATTTTTCCTGGTTGATATTAGATATTAAATTGATGAATAAATATAATGGCAATGCAATGATAACAATGAACATTTAAATTTGCCCTTCATTAAGAGATAGTAAAATCACTTAAACAATACAATATACAATTTATCCAACCTTAATTTCACTGGAGCAGGTCCCTTGCTTTTCATTTCCAAATGTACACAATACTTTAAAAAGAGATTAAGACTACATTTTAGAGGGTAGATAAATAATAAAAGAAAACTAATACTAATAGAATTACAGGATTTCCAGAACAGTCATTTTTAAAGGTACTGGTAGAGTTACTTTACAACCAACAGCGTTATATTGGAACCCTTATCCATCTGATGTGTCCTTCCATTTGCTTAATGAAATTATAATATCTGCAAATATCTGACATGTTCCTGTCCACTCTACAAGATGAATTACAAATAACTATAATATTTTCGGAAATTGTAGCTAATAGAAGTTTTAGATTTCAGATTATTCAATTTTCACAAATAAGCAGACGACAGAGGATGGACTCTTTAAAGTCCTCTTTAAGTGTAAACACTGTGCCTATGGAAGCACAATAGCGAGATTGAGCACAGACACGCTCTCATCTGCCGACTCCGAGCTCTCATGACTTCTTTCAGTCACCTTTCATCTTGAGGCAGAAAGGTCTTTTTGCTTTAATTCAACATGAAGACAACATTATGCCTCTTTACATGAAGGCAAAAAAAAACTCAAGAGCCTGAACTCTGTTCATGAATTTATGATAAGACTGTTGGTTTACAGACGATTGCTCAGTTCCATATCTCCAAATACAGCAGTGACACATCCGTATGAACGATTAATAATACAATCTCATCTGTGAGTTAGTTCATGTTAAAGTTAATCAAAACTCCGCAAGAAAAACACAAATTTACTTTAAAAACTTAACTAAGTGTTAACATTAGTAAGTGAATTATATGGAAATTAATTTGTCAACCGTTTTGTAATTGACCAAATAACTTTTTCTGTTTAATTCAAGCACAGAAAAAAATCTTACAAACAACTAAAGTTTAATTGATCATTTTTTCCCATGGGAAAGTGCACTTAAAGGGGCTTATTTGTTGTTTGAGTTTACTATTGTTTTAAGCACCGTTTACAGTTCTGTTTGCAGACACTTTTAGAGACCTGGTGATTAATTATTCGGTTTTCCTGATGGACTATAAACGAATGGAATTTGAGGACAGACGCTCGGTCGTGACAGATGTCCTTTTTACATATGTAGCCTACACCTGGACAAAAAGAGAAAAGAAAAGAACAAGTCCAAAAGTCTTTCTCACCGACTTTTAAATAGTTCGGCTCAGTCTGCAGATCTTGCGGAAAGTTTCTCTGTTTTCTTTTCTTTTATATCTTCATATTCCTCAAAGAAGTTCGGTATCAGGCTTTTAAATATCAAATCAAAACGCAAACACATACGCTTTGTTACTCACGTCCAGTCATCATAAAATACAGTGTAGTTGGGACAGTTTTCTCTCCGTACATATTCACATGCGGACTTAAAGATGTGATGATGTCACTTTCATACTCACATTTAATTTCGGAAAGAGCGGAGAGCTTTTTTTCTACATTGAAGTGAAAAATAATCAATACTTTGTCCACTGGACGCCTTTTTTCTGAGTGTTTCGCGTCTTTAAAGTGATGTAAACTTCGGTTAAAAAGTGTTTTAAAAAGCAAAAAAAAAATCCAACAGAAGCTTCCTTTACTCCTTGTCATCGGGACGGAAGTAATCCGCAGGGGGGCGCTGTGTGTCCGTTTCTTTGTGGGGCTTGGTGCCCGGAGATACGGGCTGGCACGCTGCATTTAAATAAATAAATAGCCCAAATAACACGCTCTGCAATAAAGAGCAAAAACTTGGAAATCTGCGTTTTAAGTAAGATCTCCGGAGCCGAAAAAAATACAAACTCTGACCAGGAGAGACATAGTGGTGCCGTTCCTCTGCCGTCGGGGAAGTGTTTTAGTGTCTGCTGGAGAGGAGGAGTAGATCGCTCCTTCTGTGGCAGAAAAACGCGCACGAGCTCCTGTGTGTGCCAAGCCCGCGCGCACCGGAACAAGTGAAAAGTCTTGTTTTTTAAAATTCATCCCTGTTTCAAACGGGGGGGAAAGCTTTTATTTGGATTGTTAATGGGAGACTAAGTGATTGTCAAGGTAGGCATTTTTTTTTTTTCAGTGCAGCTGCCTGTGCTGTAACCCCTCCTCCCCTTGCCCCCCCCCCTCTCGGTCTCCCTCTCTCCCTCCTCACACTCATTCCTTATTCCTCCACCGCCTGGTGCTTCATTCCAGTGCACGAGCAGAGCGAGGGCAGACGCTTTACGCAGCAGCCAGAGCCCAGAAAAACTCGCTCAGGGAATTAAAGAATCCGTTTTACGCGCGGCTGCGTCTTCACAGGAATACCCACTTGACGGTGGACGCACGTGAGCATGTCCGCGCTCATACGGGACTAAAAAAAAAAAAAAACACCATGGTTCTGACACCATCTCGGCTGTCTCTGCCACCGCTCTGACAACAGAGAAAGTCTTTTGGATCTCCCCACCTCAGAGCTGGTCGTAGTCGCTCTTTTTACTGAAACCCCCCACTGGACGTATACTCTCTGGATGCTGACCACTGACCGGACTACCTGTTTTCCCTGTCATTCGCTCAGTGCGCGTGGAGGGGACTGCGCCCCGTTGCCTTCCCTCTGGTTTAACCAGGCGCTTTGGAGATCCGCAAAAAACAAAAAAAAAAAGCGAGAAGGGGCTTTTTTGTGTTCTTATATTTTCTACAAAGGCTGATCGTTTTCCCCTCTGAACTCTCGTCTTAACCTGCTTTTTTTTTGTGAATGGGCTTAACTCTTGTCCCGGAGCCTTGACACTCTGCAGCCACAGGGACGGGACTGGGTACGAGGAACGTCGGATCGCCCAGGATTGTATACCACCCCCCCCCCCCCCCCCCCCCCCCCCCCCCCCCGTCCATCACTCTCCCCGTCCGTGGGTTTACTTACATGTCCAAGCTGACCACTTTATGACAATGGATTACTTTCTGCTTTTATGCAGCCTCTTGCTTCCCGTGGTGTTCGCAGTTGAAGGTAAGAGAAATCCATCTCCAGACGGTGTTGTTGTGCTCCCTCACAGACAGCTCAGAGCGTATTTTGTCTCCACAGTACTAGAGCCAGCACCCATACCTCCCATAGGCTGGGGCAAACACTATACCCTGGATCTCATCTTCCCCCATTTTCCGCAAATTTTCATTCAGACTCGAATTAAAACAATCGTTTCGTTTTCAAAGTGACCATCTGGCTACTTTTTTTTGAAGGATCCCTAATAGTATTATTGGCTTAAAGAAGCCTGGCACTGTGGCCGGTGCAGGTTTCAATACACAATTGTTGTGCCCCGCGTAAAGCTCATCCATTTCAATGGTGGTTGTGTATTCTTTTTTTTTTCTTACTTTTTTTTTTTTGTAACAACAGGTATAGCCTTTGCCTAAGCTTTTCTTTGTCACTTCGAGGAAATTAGCTTCACTCTGTGGGTCTCATTGGGGAGTCTCGGCTCAGCATACCCCCCCCCCCTCTTCCCCTGCCACTTTCCCTCAGGTCTGCTGCGTATTTTAGGGTTGTTTGAGTGTGTGGCCTTTTGACATCTGGTCCGCGTATCAGTTTAAGTGCACTTTTGAGAAAAACAAATGAATAGATAAAAATCTATACAAGACTGCTTTAATGACCCATTCAGTTAAAACGTCTGCTTAGGATTTACGCACATATCTAAAAACAAAAAAGTGTCACGTTGAAACAAGACGTATTTATTTCTCTGCATCAATTTCTTTGTTAGTTTTTTTCTAATGGATTTTCAAACCTGCTGTTGTTTTCTTCATCTGAGAAGCTTTTTGTTTTGGCTGAGTCTGCACGATTGCAGTTCTTAAAATCAATTAGAAATTCTCGTTTTCTTCCATAGATAGGTATTCTTTACTAAAGCTCAGAGGTTTTCCTTGTATGGTGTTTTTCGGGGATATGGTGGGGAAAACAATTGAAAGAGGCCTTAAGCTTTAATTATGAGTGCATGGGCTCATGCCTCGTTCCTTTGGCTTGCGATGCCAGCAGAAAAGTAGGACAGTGGGCCACTGGCTCAGTAGACGCTTCTCTTTTCTCGACTCATTTCTCAATTTGTCCGCACAATAACCCACGCGAGGATTTTTATTGTATCGCTAAAAGGGAAATGCACTTCTGAAGAGACACAATAAAAATAGAAGTCCCCAAAGGTTTGAAACGAAACTTAAAGCAGCTTTATGCAATGAACAGCGTCTCAGATGTTCACACAACACCGTCAAACCCCTTCATATAAGATCCATAAGCCATGCTTTTTCCCCCACTGGGATAGATTATCTTGCCACCTATTAAGACCCTGAAATCAGTGTATTTCTGCTTTGTAAGCACTAGAAGCCCGTGCGCATGCATCACCTTGCATTCAATTTAGGTATCACTGCCTAAATTAAAATGAGAGAGAAATTGAATGCTTTAAAAAAAAAAAACTATACATGAAATTGAAATTATAACTGAAACGTTTTCCAGTCATTTTGTGCTGGGCTTATCAGGACAAGGACCAAATAATGTACAGATGGATTGGCCATTGAGGGGAGACAACAATGAAACCCTTATCTTTTCCGGATCTGTTGTTTTGTTAGACCTCTAATAAAGCAAAGACTCAGGCTGTGCAGAAGGGGGACACGGTCGCTCTCTTGTTTGAGTTCTCCAACTCTAATACAAACTTGTCCTATAAAGAAGACGATCTTTATTTTCTTAGTGACCCTCTGGATCCTTCTCTCAGTGACCCCTGTGGGTCAGCGGACCCCAGTTGACTTAAAACACATGGCTTAAGTGAACGAGTGGATTCTTGGTCCACAGAATCCGTGGGTAGAGACAAGTTTGCTGCGCAGCGACTTGAACCGGGTGCGTTTCGTTAAAACAGTCCATCTCCTGCGTATATAAGCGGTGCCATAAATTGTACTGGACTGACCTGTTTGGGGGTTTACCTAAGCTTTTAATAGAGAGGGTTGATTTATGGCCGCTTCTGGGGCTTGTTTCTGGTACATCATGGTGAGGTAGAGGGGAAAGGAGCACCCCGGCAGCACACGTTTCTCCGGGCCCAACGTGCGTCTCTCTCCCGGGTCACAGTGCAACAAAAAAAAATAGAGCCCTGATTAATTCTTGCTGTCCTTTCCTCCTTATTCGGCTCCTCACAACCGATCGTGGAAAGGAAATGTAATTTTCAAACATCAGGTTTCCTGTCTTTTGAAATTTGGTTAACTTTTACTCACGCAATTATTGCCCCAACTATACACAGAGTTTAGAGTTGTCTCGAAACTAAGTGCGAAGTGATGACAGGAATGCTCGTTTAGGTCATTTTTATGCTTGTTGTGTTGCTTTTTAACTTATTGATCTTTTCTTTTGTTTTGTTTTGTGACTTTAAGCAGTGCATTTTTAATAATAACTTTTTCAATAATTGGAAAATAAGTTAAATGTTGGAAAACCATGGTCTCAGTTTTGCTCTTTATTTTTTAAAAAAAATTTAATTATGAAATCAATCAGCGTATGTCTTTGTCAATGTGCGCCGTAGATTGTAGCAATCCTGCTGAGGTCAGGATATTCCTAAATGAATACAGCTTGCCTTGGCTGTGGAACCTTTAGCTGCTATCAGCGTGCTGAGGAGACAAATTGCACCGATGACAGTCCTCCGTGGAGCCCGGCTGGTTTGCTTACCCTTCGATGCAAATTACCTGTGATGGGGGAAGGAAGTATGAAAAAGGGTATGATCCAGAACTCCCAGTTTCACAGGATATGCCACGTCGTAGCACATAAACTATGGTTCTATTCGTCTTCATACATTATTTAATATGAAATAAAATTGTGCTTATATCATGTTTAAAGGCAGAGTTTGTGGCATTCATCAATAAATAACAGGCTTTACGTTTTGAGGTGGAGTATTGGGTCAAGGAACCTCGTAAGGAGTCCAGTTAGGTGCCACTTTTATTTATTATGATTCATAAAATTGTATCAACCCCGGTCTACTTGCTCTTGAAACTCAATCCCAGCACTTTCTTCTGAAGCAATTTTCTATCTAAACAAAGACAAATGATCTCCATAGCCACGCACAATTCAGGGTTTCCCACTCCCAGTTCCCCGTGTCTTTTTTCTTTCTATTTTGGCCGCGTAGAGTTATTACGCACACGCAGGCCCTTTGTAGAGCACATGTTTATGTTTTTTTATGTGGGTGAGATCACACCTCCACAGGAGCTTTCCTGTGCCTGTTTTCGGTTGGCACATTTTTCGTCAAACTCATAGGATTTATTCCTGCCCTCTTGGTTTTTCTTTTTCTCCGAATAGCATGCAGGCCAGGTCCCCCTCATCGCTTTCATCATCAACATTATGCAAATTAACAGTAAAGGGAGCTTTTATTCATAATAAAAAATAAGAAAATAAAAAATATATAAATATTAAATGTGTGCAAGTTTTAACTTTATGTTTTATCTTATATTAAGCAAATGTAAAATAGATGTTTTGTCCTCTCTAATGACGTCCTTTATTAATTTATTTCTTCACTTTCATGTTAACAACAGTAAAAAATCAAATTTAGGCCCCATCATTAGTCTGCGATTGCCCCATCTTGCTGAAAAAAAGAGAGGAAAAAAAACATTAACCTTTGCCATAAAAAGAGTAATGGGCCCGTTTGTCCGGCCATAAGGCCCTGCTGGTCAGTTCAGAGCGCAGCGTCAGGCTGTGTGGCCTGAGCCGGACTCACGGCGAACTTTACTACAGCAGCTCCTTTACATAACATTCAAAGGCAAATGACAGAGCAAATGTGTTTAGGGTGGCCATTGATGTAACAAAAGAAAGTATTAGTGGCTCTATGGTGGCTATTACGCAGGCCATTCAAGAGCCGAGTGGAAATGTGCTAAAGGGGCGTGAAAACGAATTAGCAAAATAAAGCAAAGTCATCCTGCCTTCGTCTAATGAATCATTCTCAGTGTCAATCTATCTATCTATCTATCTATCTATCTATCTATCTATCTATCTATC